TCTCGATTCTCTATTTCTTTCTCCCTCCCTTTCTCTCTCTAGGAAAAAAAAAAGACAGCCTACTTCTTTTCGGAATCACTAGCCCATCATAGACAATTAGTGGAGGGTGAGGAAAGGGCCTAAAACCAAAAAGGCAACCTTTTTCCTTCCCTTAATCACTAGCCTAATGTACACCAAATAATGGGCATTAGTGGAGGGTAAAAAGAAGCCCTCAAGGAGAGAGAGAGAGAGAGAAGAAAAGAGTTAGAACCGAGACCAAGTCATTCCTCGTGGGGTGAAAGGTCCTTTACCTACTTAGAGGAATGCGGCAGATGATACTAACAAGATCTTGGCGAGAGGATTAGGCGTGCAACACTAGCAAGGCAAGTTCATATTTGGGCTTATTGTCATGCTTCAGCATAGTTCTATCCTCCTCACCCTAATCACTCTTTTCTCACCACTTTATATCAATGTATTTATCTCTTAGAACCACTTACTGCGGCAAACTCTTGTCTTGCGGGAACATTGCATGGCACAACATGGAGCTCGTCCTACTCTGTTGAGCAGATCTTCCAACTTTCATGAACTCAAAGGCTTTTCAACCCCTTTGCAAATCAATCACCTTCCTCAAATATGATGAGCGTCATGGAGTCTATCTCGGTATCATCACATCCCTCTTCAAAAGAGGTCTTTCATTCTTCATGTCATCCTGCGTGCGAATGAGATCCCACTTATGTAACCTCGGAATGAGGTCAAACTTTTATCACTCAATCAAATTTCTTCTTCTTAAAAAAAAACCTAAACCTAAACCTAAACCTAAACCTAAACCTAAACCTAAACCCTAAACCTAAACCTAAACCCTAAACCCTAAACCCTAAACCTGAAGTTGGCGTGCTCGGGTGGGAGCAGTCTCTAGATTGGTGACCTCTCTAGGAAGTCCCGATTATGTGTGCATGCGTTGTGGCGCTTGCTTTGCATGTGCTGAAAGGCACTGATGTATGATTGTGCTGCCCAGCACGTGTTATGAACCCTCTGTCACCATGTCAAGATGTCTTGAGCATGAAGCATGTGCCGAGAGCACCCTTGCCATTATGCCAAAAGGTATATGTGGCATCTATCTCACCATGCCAAAATGCTTCCAGCTTTGAAGAATGTGCTGAGAGGCCATCTTGCAACCATGCGAGAGGCATATGTAGTATTCATCTCACTATGCGAGAGTCATATGTAGTATTCATCTTACTATGCCGAGAGGCATATATATAGCATTCATCTCACCATGCCAAGATGCCCTAGCTCCAAAGAGCGTGCTGAGAGTCACCCCTGCCACGATGTCGAGAGGCACAAGTGGCATCTATCTCAAAGAATGTGCCTGAGAGGCACCAAAGTGATTAGGCGTGTGAAGTATCAGGATGGGTGACCTCTTGAGAAGTTCAGCCCAAGACAATTATCGAAAAAAAAAACCTAAACCAGTCACATTTGCTCAACTTTTTCTCTCTCCTCGCGAGCTTCTCTCTCATCAACGTCACATTCAAACAGCGAGATCTCTCCCATCTGACCTCAGATCCCGCTGAAACTTGTTTCATTCGATTCGCAAGGTCGGAAAGCATCATCGTCGAGCCGTCACACGTGGAAAATGGTTGACTGATGCTCTCGGTCTCGCGATTTCTCCCTCGAGAGGTATTTTTCAGAACGTTATATTCTCGGGGTAATATCTACTGATTTACTTGGCTGAAATATTATATCCTTATATCAGTAGAATCGTATTTTCTTGATTTACAGCTTTTCCTTCTTGATCATTTTATTTTGATGCTTCGTTGATGAGTAAATCATCGTTTTCATCGGCGGACCAATGTTCGGCCGATGAGAAACTGAGGAAGAAGCATGCTTTGGGCCTGGCAATGGTCGAAAATCAGAACCGTCGATCGCCTGAACGGTCGAATGACGGACAGTCAGGATTTTCCGTCGGCTGGAGATCCCCGGTCCCAGAGATCGCGTCGATGCCAGCCGGCGCTGCTATTTCAACTGTTGATCTACAGATCACCGGACTAGATTCACTAGAGGAAAGGTGCCGCAAGCGGCTGACGCCGTTTCCTCGGTTACGGTGTCCGTGCTTGCATCAGCGAGCTAACACGGAGGGCACCAACGGGAGCTTAAATCCGTCCATTGAAATTGAAATCAACGGAATGGATTCGGTGCCGCAACTTTTGCGGGCGCCGTTCTCTCGTGTTCGACGCCCATGACGTCATCTGCGTCAGAAAGGGCGGGCGCAGCAACCCAGACAACCGGAGGCCAGACCGCGCCGGCTCATGGCGTCCTGGCCCAGATCAGGGCTGAGCCGGAGCAGGCCGCAGTAGCCGAAGCCATGCTGGCCGTGGCGGCTCAGTCTCAGGCCCAGCCGGCCGAGGTTGCGCGGAGCACGGTCGTGCCGGACAAGACCGCGCAGCCCAAGGGTCTGAAGGCCAAAGCTTCTAGGATCCAGCCACCGGCCCAGACTAAACCGGCCCAGGCCTCACCGGCCCAAGCCCCACCGACCCAGGACCCAACGGCCCAGGCCGCTCAGGCCCGGACCGCTCAGGTCAGGCCGATCAGGCCCAGACCGAGCTGGCCCAGCACACCCAAGCACAGCCCACGGGCCCCAGACCTATTGGCCCAAACCACTGAAACCAGAGCTGCTCAAGCCCGCCAAGCTAACCCAGCCCACCCAGGCCCAAGCCAAGTCTTGGGCCCAACGATAGTAGGACAACAGCCCACTCCTACAGTGGAAAATACACTGAGGCGAGTTACACCCTACTTATGCTGATGGAATACCGTCCGGGGTTACACTGATGAAGGGGAATGAGAACAGTCTCATTTTCTTTGAAGGAAGTCTCCCAACTAGTAGAGGCCTTCCAATTTTCATTGATAAAGGCTTCTCTCTGAAGCGTCCCCACCTAGATGATATTTATAGGATCTATTTGGCCCCAAGACATTTTCAAGGTAAGATAGTCATCGGTGCCCATGATTATCAGGCGTCTTTATCCGTTTTGAGCTTAAGGCTGACTATCGGAAAGCTTGGAGTAGGACCACATAGGAGATTTAGGATACCATTATGCATACATATAGATGGACCCCATAGACAGACGGTCTTTCAGGAAAACAACCACACTCCATCCCGGTTTGGATAGGTTTTCCTAGTCTACCAGCACATTTATTCACGCCTAAGGCACTTGAGTCTTTGGCGAATGCCCGGTACATTTATCGCCTAGATCCGGTGTTAAAATGTTTAACCGCCTAGGTTATGCAGTATGTGTAGAGATAGACCTCTTGGCCCCCCTCCGATTGCATGATCATTGTGCGAGAATGGGGATGAGATGATCTATCAAGCAGTTATATATGAGAGACTACCTCATTTTTGTACCCATTGCACAATGTTTGGACACACTATCCACACTTGTCGACATAAGACCACCTCGTCATCTTTAGAGTCTCTGCGATTTATTTATCACCTATGTCATATGATGATTATATCATTGAGGTAGGGAAGACTACACCTAGCCGCCCTCCCATCTGAGCTCGCGTGCTCCTCTCGACCACTGCTGGTCGGACTAGTGTCCCTCAGCCGGTCTTGGGAGAACAACCCCACCTACATCGGTATCACATCTTATCTCGAGCATCCACATCCGAAAGGGAAGGAAGATGGTAGTAGGCCCAACTCCCCATACCAGCGGTAAGGGAAGGCAGTCAAGACATCGAATGTTTTTAGGCTCTAAGTACCTTGATCGAGGACAATGTTCCCATCATAGGGAACAATATCAATACGAGTTCGACGACACTCCCAAATAGGGGGCCTACTACTACTTCACCTTTAACCGCTCCTCTCCATCCATCGGGCCTTTAGCTCTTACTACCTCTCTATCACCAACTAGCTCCCTCCATCCGTTAGACCTTCTACACTCACACATCTTTCATTACCTATTAGCTCCCATCACCTAGGTCTTCCCCTCCCACACCACACCTCACCCACCCTCCCACCCCCTCCATCACTGATCGGGTCTTGATAGAAGCCCACTAGGTACATCCTATCCGATCCTCCTTCTCTTTCTCTTTCTTCCTCCTGCCACCCCAACCTCTAGATCCACCATTGAGCACACCCTTAGAGGCTCGAGGGAGCGTGAGACCCCTAGCGAGGGAGAATGCTCGATGAATCGTCGAGTAATCTCTCTTTCCTCTTCAATGGAGGACACTAGCGAGCTCTACATCGAGTGCTGAGGACTTTGGATCTGAGTCCTCATTGGATCTCCCCATTGGCGGCATTGACCTTGAGAGGATGCAGGCAGAGATGGTAGATAAGACTTCACGCGGCGCTCTCCATATGTCACGAGACCTAGCCTTATTTGGGCTGTGGGGTTGGGCAACCTCGAAACACAGTCCACATTATTAAACTCATCAATAAGCACCGACTAGGCCTTGTCGAGCTTATTGAACCTATATTCCATCAGATCACATTCACCCATTACTTAGGCATAGGTATAGATCACTTTCATTCTAACCCTCTGAACCACATCTGGTTGTTCGGAAGAGATCATATTCTCTACAACTATTAGTTGAGGGGCCACAACATGTTACGATGAGGGTACTAGGCTCGGTCAAGAGCTTATATTCTCGATCGTTTATGCTTCACATAGACACCAAGATCGTGAGACTCTTTAGGAAGACCTAGTACAATATATGCGGGATTATCCTATACTAGTTGATTCTCCTTGGTTCGTAGTCGGAGATTTCAACTGTGTATGTAGAATCCGCGAAGCGTCAAGGGGGACAGGTCCCTCGGGCCCGTCACATGGAGGCGTTCAATGATTTTATTTTTAGCGGCCCTCATTGAACCTCCTACTTTTGGCAAGGTCTGGGCGTGGTGCAGCGAGAGACAAGGGGCGCAAGGATATATGGCGCATCGTCGTTGCTTCACTAATAACATTGCAATAGTGCAATGTCCCATATTAGTCACACTCCTACCTCGCTATAGGTCAAATCCTGCCCGATTCTTATTCTCCTGACTTGAGAGCTAGTACCCTAGACCTCCTTTTAGGTTTCAAAATATGTGGACTCGACATGAAGGCTTCCAAAGCTTCGTGGAGTCATTGGCATGGAGATATCTCAAACTCTCATATGGAGAACCTCGGTTACAAATTAAGGAATCTCAAACTTCACCTTAAATGGTGGAACCGGCATGTATCTGGGAATATCCACACCTAGGTAGAAGAGTTGAAGAAGGAGCTAGCTGGGGTTAGAGACAATTGCGAGGCTCAATGGACTGGCGACACTTGGCGAGGCGAGTTAAGTGAGTGAGCAACTAGAAGAGGCTGCGATGATAGGAGATATATTATCTCCAAAATCCGCATCTAGTGGCTCTGCGAGGGATAGGAACACCGCGTTTCTTTCATGCCTCGATCGCACATCTCGCTCGATTATACATCTCTTCTAGAGATGTATGATCAGACACATCTCGTATGCAAGAGGCGGAATTACATACTTTCGTACCCTTCTTTCTTCCGCCGATTGAGATCTCGAGGATATACTCTCATCGATTCTATTATGATGTGATCTTCTCAATGAGTAGAAACCGAGCACCTAGGCCGATGGTTTTCGGTGGATTTCTATTCAATATGTTGGGACATCGTCGGAACTGATTTAGTTCATGCCATCAAAGAATTCTTACGCCACAAAGTCTTCCCACGAAGTTGGAAGGCCACCTTTATTGCACTCATACCAAAGGTGGTCAACCCAACTTCTTTGAGATTTTCAGCCCATCAGTCTTTGTAATGTGTGTTATAAAGTTGTATCCAAGATCATTACAGCACGGTGAGTATTTTTCTTGATAGGCTCATATCTCGAGGCGGTCTTGGTTGTTAAGGGGCGGCACATTCATGATAACATCATGTTAGTTCATAAACTAGCACAATCCCTTGACCAGGACATCCGTGGTTCTAATGTCATCATCAAATTAGACATGGAAAAGGCTTTTGATAGGATCGAGTGGAATTTCCTTACGAAGTGCTTGGCTTTGGATTCAGCTGCGAGTTTATTGACCTGGTCAATGCATGCATTAGGGAGAACCATTTCTCCCTATTGGTGAACAACACTTCTATACCTCTCTTCACAGCCACGAGAGGGTTATGGCGGGTGATCCCCTATCACCCACTCTCTTCATATTGGTTGAAGAAGTCCTTAGTCGAACCCTCTCGGCGGTGACCGTGGGCTTATCAACCATATCATTGAAGAGGGTTGCCTGATCATATCGCATTCTTTGTTTGCTGATGATGCGATACTTTTCCTTAATGGGTGTGAAGCATTCATCAAGGGACTCATGACTATCATCTCGAGCTCTGGCGGGCCCGCAGTCAACTTGTCAATGCCTCGAAGAGTAGCTTTATGGTTACATCTTCTGCCACCATTAGTATCATCGGCGCATACAAAACCTAACGGGGTTCTCGCATGGTCATCTACCCTTTGATTATCTTGGATGCCCCATCTTCTTCGGATGCACTAGGGTTCATTACTTTGATTCCCTTTTGTAAGTTGAGGAAGAAACTTGGCGGTGGAAGCTTCAGCTTCTATCTTGACGGGCGCATCAATTGATCGCCATGTCCTCATGAGTATGCCCTTGCACTTACTTGTGGTACATGGGGTACGGACACTATCTTACGATCTGTGAGGCGGTTTGTACCTCCTTCCTCGGGATGGTCAACTCGGCGAGCCTCATCCTCAACGCCGAGTTTCTTAGGAAAAAGCATGTCGACCGATGGGCGAGGGTGGCCTAGGGATTAGGCATACGAGGACATCCTCGATATGCTTCGAAAAACTTCGTATGGTAGATGAGGACGGCGAGATCACCCTTAGGGACCTTTGTGCTGGCCAAATCGGGGTGGGCTAGCCAACTTACCGACTAAAAGGAGGAAAGCAATGGGCAGATTGACAAAGACATTGGTTGTAGATGAGGCCTTTAATTCGATGGCGAGTGGGGCGAGGCACTATCGGTCTTGGTATAACACTTGGCATGCGAATACTCCTTGGCCTCCTCTACCTCTTTTATGCCATCTTGGCCTCGTCTTACTGATGGCTCGGCTTCTTGATGGAGATACTAATGTATTCCTTGAGAGCCACGAACTCTCATTAGATTTATTACTAGAGATCTCGTTAATAGAGTTGGGCCCTAGTGATGATCATCTGATCTGGACTCTTACCTTAGATGGACGTTTTCTTGTAGTTCTTCTTAGAATTACTTTAGAAATCGCTCCATAAAACAGTTTGAGGAGATCTCATTTGGCACCCTGCTATCGTACCTCGAGTCTCTTTTTTATGTGAAAATTGATACACGGACTTCCTACAAATGATCGTATGTCCATCACGGGACATAACATCTGCTCTAAGTGTCATTGTTGTCCCATCACTCCGAGTAATGAAATTATGGGCCACTTATTTTTCATAGTGTTATTGCTACGGAATGTTGGAACCAACTCTTATTGAATTGGTCCCCAGCATTTCATATTTCTCCATCTCTTACACCCTAGAGATTTTCAGGAAAGTCTTTGATTAAGCCACAAAGCTCTAGGGGCAGCCCTACCTACGTATTTCCTTAGCATATATGTTATGGGAGATATGGAAGGGACAAAATCTCTCTTATTTTCGGGTCAATAGATCGGCGCACGAGATCATGAGACCGTCACACAATGGTTGAGAAGTACCCATCCTTTGGTGTAAGCCTTCAGCGACATGTTCAGCCTCAATCTGTGAGGCCCTTAGGACTGAGGTCAAGCCATGCCTACGCATATAGAAATCTCCACTCGAGGTCGTCGATGGAGATTCTGCTAGTTGGACACCTAAAGTTGAGCGTCGATGGAGCAGCCGGGAACCACTGGACTTGTAGGAGGAGGAGGCATCTTACGGGATCATACGGGGAGTATTATCTTTGCCTTTTCTTATTTTATAACATTCAAACTAACACTACTGCGAGAGGTTATGGTGATATGTGACGGTTTGCTCCTCTGCGAGGAACACAATCTCCATGATATCGTCGTAGAATCGACTCACGAGTGCTTGTTCAGATGCTATGTGCGGGTTCTTGTTCACATTGGCGAGTACTTGGATCGACATCATGTGTTGTAGAGCAAAGATCACCGTCATTACACACGATTCACGAGAAAGGAACGGACAGGCGCACTTGCTACACATGTGTTATACACTTGTTTGTGCTTTGTATTCTCTTCTTGGCAAGAGATGCCACCCGAAGCTTCGAGGTCGACATAAACTTGGAGCAGATCGCTATGCCATCACTTCGTATATGGCGAACACAAAGACACAATAAGCCCCGATAGTGGCGGATCGCAGGCTAACCCCAGCCAGCACGACTTGGCGTCACGTAGCACCACAACCACACATTTATCCTCTCCTTTGTGAATCAGAGGATTTCGCAACAATTTCAACCGAGATGATCAACCACGACCGCATCTACCACTTCATCTTTCACTTACCACTTTTCAAATTGAGCTATCTCTTGTCTTCCCTAGATCTTATGTATGAAGCCTAAGGATAAACATTATCTCAACATCAATATAATCGAATTTTCATTTATTGAAAAAACCTAAACCCTAAACCTTAAATCCTAAACCCTAAACCCTAAACCCTAAACCCTAAACTTTTTCTCTCTCCTCATGAGCTTCTCTCTCCTCATGATCAGTGCAAATGGTGAGATCTCCTTTATGTGACCTCGGATCACGCTGAAACTTTTCCATTCGATTCGGAAGGCCAACAACTATCGGTTTGAGCTATTACGCATCAGCGGTGGATTAAAGCCTTTGTTTACAATTTCCTCATCGAAGGTAAACTTCGGAAAGTTCACTCCAAAGGTAATATCTTTCTATTGGGGTGAAATTTCATTATTTTTAGTTCAATAGAATTGTATTTGCCTCGTTTACCATTTTCTCTTCTATATCAATTTTATTTGATGCTTAGCTGATGAGTAGCTCATAGATTTCATCGGGTGACCTCCGTCGCCCAAATGAAAACTTACTGACGAATCTTGGCGAGCGAAGGCCGACATGTGGCGATAACAGCCTCTGTCCTCGCTTTCTCTCTCCGCGGTTTATGTGACCGAGAGGCGGCCGTAAATGAGCTGAGCGGTCGAACCACGGACGTCCGTGATTCGACATCAGTGGCGTCTTCGAGGCCGAATCGGAGGGACAGCGATGGGCGCCGTCTACTCTCCTTCAGTGCGGCGGCGGCGAAGAGCCACCTCGATCTAACCATAGATCGTATGATCAATGGTCGGAATCAGCCCGGCTATAAAGGCCTCAACAGCCGTTCTTGAGGCCTGCCCTCGGGCGGTCCGCGGCCATAGCGGCCAACTTGATCAGCCGTTGATCTTGAGATCAGCGGAGGGATCCGTGGCCATAAAGGTGCCGCAACTTTTGCGTCGCCGATGCCTCGGCTGGGGCGCTCTGGCGTCATCAGCGTCAAACACGCGGGCGATGGCATCGCCGGAACCCTCGCCATCCGCGTGCGAGCACGCTCGGTGGCCTTTCTGGTAGCGGCTTTGTCGAGCCTCGGCAAGGTGGCTAGAGCTGAGCGGCCGGTAGCGCCATCTGAGGCGCTTTAGCCCAGCTATGCCGACCCAGCCAGGCTCGCGGCTCGGGGCGCCCGGCCTAGGCCGGTGGCCCGGCTGAGCTGGCTCGGGCACACCAGTCAAGCTCTTGCCCAACTAAGGGGCAAAGCCTACGGCCCAAAAGAAGATAGGGCGTCGACTTTTCGTCCACCCTCGGCCACATCCTCTAGGCCTACCCGAGTCAACAAATTGAGCGGTTTTACCTTTACCTATAGGGGCCCTTAGGCTCTCTCGGACCAAGCCTCTCGAACCAACTAGGATTCCAGCACTAGTTGAGACCTCAATATTGGCCCCAAACACATCCCTTGGGCACAATATATCTACACCTAGTGGGCTAGACTCTATTGTGCCCCATAGGCCAAACCGACTATGCCTTTGGACATTTATCATGGAAACGAGTGTCTAGACCCTGTCCCTCCACACGGTGTGATATCACAAGAACAGCTGCGTCGGTACTATTCCCATTCTATGATACCACTATCCTAGTGCGAAGCTATAGCGAGGATGATGGGAAGAGGACAATAGCTTTTACTTATGAGGAGGTCTCCTAGATGGCAGCCACATTCAATATACCTTAGTTGGTCGTTTCACTCTGAAATGACCAACCATAGGTATTTATAGAAGATTTACTTAGCACTTGGAAATTTTCAGGGCGAGTCTCCATCGGACTCGAGACTATCGTAGCATATATATCCGCTTTGAGCTAGAAGCGAATTATCGCCGAGCATGGAGCCGACCCACTTGGACAATAGGGAGTCTACCCTCCATACCCACAGATGGACACCACAGACCGACATAGGGTGTCGAGCACATCAGTCTCATGTGGTTCCATTATGGGTGGGCTTCCTTGGCCTACCTGCCCATTTATTTCGCCAAAGGCACTTAAGTCTTTGGCAAATGCGGTGGGAACATTCATATACCTTGACCGGGCATAAAATGTTCAACCAGCCGGGATCATACGAGTTTGTATATAGGTGGACCTAATGGCCCCTCTGAGAGGACTCTCGTTATATGTAGTGGAGATGATGAGCTTTATCAGCCTATCATTTATGAGAGATTACCATATTTCTGCACACATTGTGCTATCTTGGGCCACCTTGTTAGCACATGTCGTCGGAAGGCAAGTATACCACGGCGACCACGAGCCTTCTTAGTACCGATCTCATATGGCGATTACCTTGTCGAAATGAGAAAGGATGCTCGAGTGCTCGTCATCCTCGAGGTCGACTGCCCTATGGCGGCTCCACCTCCCTTACCTCGAAGGCACGGAAATGCCTAGGTCACTAATTGAGACACAACATGCGGTGAAAGCCGGCAGCTGAGCGCCCTTCTTCCATCCACACAAGAGGAAAGAACACGAGGCTACACCTTCCCCTTTAGGCAAGGGAAAGAAACCCTAACCTCAAACACCTTCGAGGTCTTAGAGGCTTTAGATGAGAGAGACTTTGAGGGACCTGCGAGGAGGGAACTAGGCCTTCAAAGGGCTAGCATCCCCCTGAGGACTCATCTAGTCAAACCCCACATACTAGATCCCCTCGGGCTATCAACCTCTTATACTCACCCACCCCTCCATCCATTAGTGTCTCTCCACCACCCAGTTCCTCCTGCCCATTCACTCTTCCCCGTGGTAGGAGTCCTTCACCTCTTAGTCCCCACCGACCAAGGTCTACCCCTTTCTTTGAGGGTATAGGCTTGG